CGAGTCAGTATGAGCAACTGAGGGAGACCCTGTCTCAAAATTCAAGTCCAAAAGAGCTGGAGGGACGGCTCAGTCAGTAGAGCACTCGCCGCACAAGTGGGAGGCCGTACGTTCAGATCCCCAGAATCTACACAGAAAGTCAGGAGCAGATGAAATTCAGGACTAACTGGGTCCCTGGAGGTCTGAGGACCGGCTAGCCTGGCCTACACAGAGACCTTGTCTCAAATTAAAAGCAGAGGTCGCCTGAGGACAACACTGGTTGTTCACTGACCGTCCCACCTAGGATGAGCACACAGGCACCTGGCCCGCCGCTCCCCACTCCGGGATGTACAAACGGTTAAGGTGGGTGTGGGGTTCCCGAGGTCAAGCACTGCTGACTGCCGGCAAGGCCGCCGTCTGTCCCCAGCACCACAAAATGAGATGAAAATGAAAGAGGCTGGAGAGGTATAGAGTGCTTGTTTAGGATAGGCACAAGGAGTCGATAAAACCCACCAAGATGGAATAACCAACACTTGGCAATACCCATCTTCATATCGGACACCACAGGGCAAAAACTATTCCCAGAACTTATGCCTCTTTGCAGCGCCACACAGTTCTAGCTGGAGTGTGAGTCTCTCCGTTTTGGTTTGCTTTGGTTGGTTGTTTGTCTTGAAACAGTGTCTCGTGTAACCCATGCTGGCCTTCGACTCAATATACAATACAATAGCCAACCCTGACTTTGAATTTCTGATTCGCCTACCTCCACCACCCAAGCGCTAGGATCGCAGGCATGAGCCACCAGATTCAGCTTCTGCAGTGCTGCGATGGAACCCACGGCTTCATGCAGGCCAGGCAGGAACCCTACCACGTCACCCACACCCCCAGTCTGTACCTTAGCGTCTTGAAAGACACTAAGGCAGCCTGAACAAGGCCACAAAGAGACTCTGGACCTGTTTTAGCAGCCCCACTAATGGGTAGAACAGCACAGTGAGAAGAGAGTTGAACCTCAGCTCCAAGCCTTCCCACCGGCCCCTTCGAGGCGCAGGCTGGGACCCCATCCTTGTCTCTGTGTGGCCTTAGGAGGAATTCCAAGTCCTGTGCAAGAACCCACCGGGGGCCATTTGACCCGGTCACTGCACACTGGGCAGCAAGTGGATATGACCTGGAACTTGGGAGCCACATGACCTGCCTGCTCATGGCCGGAGCCAGCAGCGGATCCCACAGGTCACAGAACAATCCCCCTGAACACCACTGCGCAGACGAGGCCAGCTGTGATGGCAGAAGCGGAATTTTCCAGATCCCCCCGGAGTGGGAAGCAATGAAACGAATCGGCACACAGCCACGATGTGGACTTTCAGACACCGATAAACTGAGGTTGGAAGTAAGTTGACTTTTTGGGCTTTGGTTTGTTTATTATATTGTTTTGTTTGTTTGTTTTTGACAGAGGGTGTCACGACTGAGCCCAGTTGTGCTAGCCTTACACGCACAATTCCCCTCCCTCAGCCCCCTGAATATGCACATAATTACAAACAAAGGGAGCTAGCAGGTCAAGTTGGCTTGTTGGTTAGTTGGGCTCTGTTGATGACATTTGTTTGTGCGGGAGTAGGAATGAGGGTGCACTGGTTGTGTGTGGGGAGCTCAGAGAGCAACCTGAAGGAATGGATTCTCGCTTCCCATCATGTGGGAGGAGAAAGAGGGCTGATGACCCAAGCTCCCGTCTCCGTGCCTTCCCTGCCATGCTGGGGTGTCCCTGCAAGCTATGGCTGTGGGTGGATTCCCAGAGGCTTTGCTTTGCTTAACAAGCATGCATGCACACACGGATGTACTTACAACCCAGGAAGCCTGGAGCTTAAGGCTTCAAAAGAGGAGAGGACAAAGAAATTCAAAGTGCGAGCCAAACCTTGTTGCTGGTTTGGATCAGCTGAAAACCCATAGCCTCCTGTCGCCATGACTAAACTCAGCCAACACGAAGCTGCATGGCTGCAGAAGGAGCCTTAACCACATGCTCACACGATACAGACTTCTGTAGGCATTTCTGAAGAGGCCCCTGTCCCAGGTAGGAGATGACTCAGAGCTGAGTCTGTCGGGGTAGAAGATCTTATTGGTCACAGTAATAGCAAGCTGACCACACGGCACGAAAGACTTCCATTCCAGCACCAGGGAGACAGAAGCACACAGATCTCTGTAAGTCCAAGGCCAGCCTGGTCTACAGAGCAAGACCTTGTCCCAAAACCCAAACAAGACTCACAAACTAAGTAAGCTCCAGGATGCACCCAACTATGTGACAAATTAAAGATTGTAGATCAAATGAAAGACAGGTTTTTGTCATCTGTACAGACCACAAAACTGAACACCCACCAAATAAATGAAGCTTTGTCTGCCTTTACTATTAGACACTTGGAACGCCAAAGCAGGGGCCGTCGAGATGGCTCGGTGGGTAACGGTGCTTGTTGCCAAGGCTGACGACCTGAGTGTGAGTCCTGTGACTCATGTGGTGGAAGGAGAGACCAGACATTCACAAGTTCTTTGGCCTCTACACAAATGCTATGGCACACCCACGCACAAATGGAGAATTATAATAAAAAGTAGGACGGGGGGGGGGGCACGCGTGTAAACCAGCACTCAGAGAGGCAGTCAGGTGGATCTCTGTGAGTTCGAGGCCAGCCTGGTCTATAGAGCCCAGGACAGCCAAGGCTACACAGAGAAACCTTGTCTAAAAAACAAACAAACAAAAAAAACCCAAATTATATATATGTATGTATGTATGTATATTAAAAAGAACCCAAAACATCTTTTCTGATCATCTTCAGATATCAAATACAAGAAAGAGAGAGAGAAAATAAAGAAGACAGCATTGGTAGAACTAAGAAACACCCAGTGTACCTTCCCAACCTTACCTACATCTGTCCATTATCTTTGTGTGGGTGGGTGTGTGGGTGTACATGCATGCTCCTGGAGGGTGGCATATACACGTGTGTGTGTGTGTGTGTGTGTGTGTGTGTGTGTGCGCATAAGGAGGCCGAGGCTCAGTCATTCCTCAGGAGACGCTCTCCTTGTCTCTCCCTGAGACCTGGGGCCTGAGTGGATCGGGCTGCGTGGCCAGCAAGCTCCAGGGACCCGCTTGCCCCCACCTCCCTGACATGAGGATTACAAGGATGCCGCCCCATCTGGCTTCATACCTTGAGTGTTGGGGTTCAAACTCAGGCCCTCATTCTTGGGTGGTAAGAGCGTCACCAGCTGAGCTCTCTCCCCAGCCCCATGTCTGTTTTCTGTTGCTGTAACAGAATACCCGAGACAGGCTGGCTAAAAGAATCAGAGGTTCATGGGCTGGGGGAGGAGCTCAGCATACTTGCCCACCATGCGCAAGGCACTGGGTTCAGCTCCCAGCGTCGCACAAACTGGATGTGGTGGTGTCCGCCTCACAAAGCACTCAAAAGGATCAGGGGTTCGAGGCCAACCTCAGCTGTGAGTTAGAAGCCAGCTTGGGATATGCAGAGTAGAGACTCTGGCCCCTGTTCAAGGGAGTGCGCAGAAGCGGCAAACCTGGAGAGGCAGCCTGAAGGGGCAGCCAGCTCTGGGGACAACTGCTCCAGCCTCTGCAAACGAGCGCTCACTCAAGGGAAACCGTTATATCTCTTAAGACCTGATCCCTTCTCAAAGGCCCGCCTTCTCCAGCCACCACGGAGGCCATCAAGCCTCCATGTGCAGCCAGGCATGCCAGCACACACGGGTGACCCAGCCTTCAGGAGGCTGAGGCGGAAGAACTACTACCTACTGTGCACCTACTGTGCAAGGCTGACCGGGGCCACACAGTGAGTTTCAGGGAAGCCCAGGCTATAGAATGAGACACTTTCCCAAAGGGGGTGGGGTTGTGGGGGGCCAGGGGGCATGACGAAATGGCTCAGCAGGTCAAGGAGCTTGTCACGGAAGCCTGGAGACCAGAGTTCATCCCTGGGACTCACAACCAACTCCACAGTGTTGGGAGACCTTCTCGTGTGTGTGCTCTGGCACACAAGCCCACACACAATAAAGCTAATAGTAGAGGGAATGATACTCTTTCAAGGCAATCAAATAAAATCAAAACGTACACCAGATAATGAAGATTTTGAGTTAAAAAAAAAAAAAAGGGAAAACTATCCCACAACTAATGTGTTGAGATGGACTACATCCTGAAATCACATATACAAAATGTCGACTAAAATGTACTCTTGCCGGGTGTGGGGATACCCAGCCCTAGTTTCAGCATTCAAAGGGCTGAGACTGAAGAATTATGTTTAAGGAAAGCCTGGGCTACAAAGTTGGATCAAGGCCAGCCTGGGGTGCATAGCAAGACTGTCTCAGAAACAGAAAAAGAAACGACCAGCGCTCCAGAGCCAGACAGATCCCTGTGAGGTCAAAGGACAGCCAGGTCTACGAAGCGGTTCCAGGACAGCCAGGGCTAGCCAGCCACCACAGTGAGGCTTGTCTCAAACAAAACAGAACAGGAAGAGAAAAAGAGATCAGGGCTCAGGGACGACCCCAGAGACCCCGGCTACGACGTAGTTGGACCTTCTGGGCCTCAGTTTCTCCACCTTCAAAGAGGACCTCTCCATTCCTCCGCCGTGCTTTGAGGGTGGACGGGAGGTGCGCGCAGAACCCTTTTCAGTGTTACCCACTGGGCGCTACGGGACGAAGCCGTTCCTGCTGGCACTGCTAAGTGCTTTCTAAGGATCATCTCGCGTAATCCTCCCGTGGTCCCTAATGGAGGGGACTCTCACCGTTCACCAGGTTACAAATGTGGAAACTGAATTGGACCCACGAAGCGCCTCGCCCAAGGGAGAGAGGAAACGCGGACAAACCGCTGCGCCCCGCGCAAAAGCGGGATGACAATTACCACTCCATTCCGAAGACGATGCTGCCTGTTTCCCGGGTCGTTCCAGACCGAGGAATGGGGTCAAGCCCAGTTCTGCAAGCAGTGGGGACAGGAAAGAGGGGTCTCAGCGCCCTGCTCCTTGTTCATCACCCCCCACCCCGCCGCTCACCTCGCGTATTTGGTTTTCTGGAAATCCAGCAGCCTGGCCAGAGCGAACATCGCTGCGGTTCCATCAGCGCCCGGCCCGGGGCTGGGACGCGGGAACACCGGGAGCCTCCGCGGGAGGCGCAGCAGGTTGGAAGGGCGTCGGATCCTCGGCAGCTCCAGGGCCCTGAGCAGACCTGATCGGCTGCCTCCCGGAGCCCCGAGCCCCCGAGCCTGGAGTCTCAGAATCACAAATCCCGAGCAGATGGTGACGGGGGCGGGGCGGGGGCGGGATATGGGGGGGCCTCGGGCGCACGCTGCCAATCGCGCTGCTGGGAGGTCCCCTCCCTCCTGCTAGCTTCTCCCCGTGTCTCCTCCACCCCATTGCTGTTCCAGCCAGCAGAAGACAGCTCGGACTAGACTGAACTGCTTCTGCCACCACTTGCCAGCCCGGCAGCGCTGGGGACGCTGGGGAGTCTGGGGACCGGCCCAGGCGGCATCCTCGCTCTACTTGTTGCTGGCTCTTACACCTGCGCGCCTCCGAGAAGCCTGCCAGCGCTGAATCCTACCTACCATCCAGGACTCTGTGACCCTAGGAACCGTCTTGCCCTCCCCACTCCCAACAAGATGGGGACACTCCAGAATGCCCAGAACCTTCACCCACATCCTCAAACTCCAGCCTCCTCTATCTATGTATTTGTCATGCACGCGGAGGTCAGAGGGCAACTTGCAGGAGTTGGTTTTGTCCTAACACCATGTACAACCTGGGAGCACAATCCGGGTCTTCAGATCTTTACCTGTTGTACCAGCTCACCAGCTGCCAGATTCAGCTTTCTGCTTTATGGGGACCTTGGCTTCTTTGGAGGACATGGTACCCAGTGGGTCTGTAGACATTTTGAACACCCCTTGGGAGCCGATGGAGACAAGATGGTCTTTGATGTTTATGATAGATACCGTTGTTGATTTTCCACTTGGCAGGATCTGGCATCACCAACAGCATAACCTCTGGGCATGTCTGAGGTGGGAAGCCCCACCCTTAAATGCAGGTGGGACCATTCCCTGGGCTGGGAGCTGGCTTTGAATAAAAGAGCATGTGAACCTGATGCCGGAATTCCTGTCTCTTGGGTTCTTTTTTGGTGTTGTTGGTGGCGGTGGTAGGGGTTGTTGTTACTGTTTTCTTTTGTTGTTAATTAGCCTTTTATTGTTTTGTTGTTTGTGTTTTTAACTGAAGGTCCCTTACTGATCCTGCTTCCATGAGTGGCCAAGATCAAGGGGAAGAGGAGAGCAACCAGCTGGTGCAGGGAGGGTCATTTCCACATCTCATTACACCCAGAACTAGATAAGCAGAGTCACTACTGAGGTTGGTGGGGGGTTGTCTTGGTTTTGTTTTTGTTCTTATTCTTTTTCCTAAGACAGGGTTTCTTGTGTAGCCCTGGCTGTCCTAGAACTTCCTCTATAGATCAGGCTGGCCTCTAACTCAGAGATCCACCTGCCTCTGCCTCCCGAGTGTTGGGATTAAAGGTGTGCGCCTCCACAGCCAGCGTCTCACTGCTTCTTACTGTGGATGCAATGAGATAGAAGGGTCTCCAAGTTGATGAGAGGCTCTCTCCTACTCCATCCCACGACCTCTCCCTCTTGAGCCCAGCTTCCTGGTCCTTTTAATTGATTTATTTTTTACCCAGTGCTAGAGATTGAACCAAGGCCTCATAACATATGAGATGGACATGGTTATGCTACATTACTGGTCCCTTTTTTTTTCTTCACTTTTTTATGTTGAGATACTCAGGCTAAATTACTCAAGCTAGCCTTGAACTCATTCTGTAGCCGAGGCTGTCCCTGAACTTGCAATCCTCCTACCTTCAGAGCCCCAAATGGCTGGGTCTTATTCCTGTCCATGTTAGAACAGTATTTGGTGTCCTATCAAATTCTGAGGCTATACCACCCGCACCTGCTGCATCAAGGGAGCTAGAACAAGAAACAAACTGACAAAAAAAAAAAAAAAAAAGAAGCCCGGTCTACCTCTGCTACCTTTGCTCTCCAAATGCTGGCCCTGGCTGAGCAAGACAGAGGGTACAGGTAGAGAGTAGGGAGAAGATCATGGCAAGAGTAACAGTAACAGTAAGTTGGCGCAGGGGAATGCTGAAGGAAGAGGCAAAAGGAAAGACGCTGGAGTGCTTAGGAGATAAGGCTGACCAGCCTCAGATGTTGGCTTAGAAAGTCAAGAAGACATCTAACATGGTCATCCCGGCCCTTGGGATGTAAAGGAGAAAATCAAGTTTAAGGCCAGCCTGGACAATTTAGCAGGATCTTATCTCAAAGAAGAAATCAAAAGAGAAGAAGGCATACTATTCCATTAGAGCATTCCCTAGAATCCTCCAGTGAGGGGATGAGGTGGGGCTCAGTGGTAGAGCTCCTGCCTAGAATAACCCAGTGAGGGGCTGGGTGTGGCTCAGTGGTAGAGCAGCTGCCTAGAATTCCCCGGTGAGGGGCTGGGTGTGGCTCAGTGGTAGAGCCTCTGCCTAGAATCCCCCAGTGAGGGGCTGGGGTGTGGCTCAGTGGTCACCTGCCTAGAATTCCCCAGTGAGGGGCTGGAGTGTGGTTCAGTGGTAGAGCGCCTGCCTAGAACTCCCCAATGAGAGGCTGGGAGCATGACTTAGCAGTAAAGGGTCCACCTAGCATCTGTGAGACCCTGAAATCAGTTCCTATATGGGGGGGGGGGAATTAACAAAAATACCAGTTAAACTCATTACTCTTTACGCTAACTTTAAAAGCTAATTTTTTAAAATGACACAGAAGGCCAGGCAGTAATGGTGCATGTGTGTAATCCCAGCAATTGGGAAGCAGAGGCAGGCAGATTTTTATAAGTTCAAGTCCAGCCTGGTCTACAGAGTGAGTTTCAGGACAATGAGGATAACACAGAGAAACCCTGTCTCAGAAAACCAGAAAGTGAGACATTTCAAGAGCTGATGGGAGGGCATGTTTGGCTATATTTATGCTATTTATATTATTTAAATTTGTAGTTATGTATCCTAGTTTGGATCGAGATTTGTGTTTGTTTGCAACTCATGGCAAAATTGAGTGACAAAGCCAGATGTGGTAGCTAAAACCTGCAATTCCAGCCTTCAGAAGTCTGAAGCAAGAGAAGCTTAAGTAACCTAACGTAAACTACATGGTAAGACGATGACAAAAACAGAGTAAGGAGAGGGAAGAAATGGAGGAGAGGGGAACAGAGAAGGAAGAGAATAAAGGGGAAAGTGGTGGTAATGGAGAGGGAGGAGAAGGGAAACCCCAGAATGAGGGCCTGATTACTCATCAGGTAAAGTTCTTTCCCTGCAAACACAGGGATCCGAGCTGGGTCTCTGGCACCACATATAATCTGGGTGCAATGGCATGCACCTATAACACTAGTTCTGAAGGTGCAGAGGCAGGTGCATGCTGGGAACTTTGAGACCAGCCAGCCTAGCCTGTTGGTAAACTCCAACAGGCTCAGATTGGGAAGGATTGATGAGGAACCTTATTTATCTCAACGAAGGCGGAGGGGCTGGAGATGGCTCCGTGGTTAAGGGTGTTTGTTCTTCTTGCAGAGGGCCCGTGCTTGGTTCCCAGCACCCACATGGTAGCTTACAGCCACCCTTAGTCCAATTGTAAGGGATCTGGCACCCTCTTCCAGCCTGCCACCAGACAGGCCTGAAGTGTGCACATACATGCATGCAGGAAAGGTATGTACGTGCATAAAGTTAAAATAATCAACCTTAAAAAAAAAAAAAAAGATGGAGCCAGGTGCAGTGGCACACGCCTGAACCCCAGCACTTGGGGAGGCAAAGGCAGATGGACTTCTGTGAGTTCAAGAGCAACTAAGTCTACTAAGTGAGTCTAGAATAGCCAAGGCTACACAGAGAAACCCTGTCCCCCCCCAAAAAAAAAAGAAAGAAAGAAAGAAAGAAAGAAAGAAAGAAAGAAAGAGAAAGGTGGAAAGCAATAGAGGAAGACACCAATGTTGACCTATGACCTCCATGTGGACAAGTGCACACACACACAACCAGAGTGAGCCAGACTTATGTGGCCTGAATGAATGGGGGATACTGGAATTCAGGGGGACCAAAACATTCCCGAGGCACAAAGCTCATGGGGACAGGCTATAAGCGTTTGAATCTCATTCTCTGCACCCTGAGCTCACTGTCAAACAGGACTCCCAGGGACTCTACCAGCTTCCACAGAAGACAAACGGGGACAGTTAAGTCCCACGCTGCACAGCCCTGTGCTCACCCACAGGCTCAAGTCTGTTTATCACATGCATTGTCTGTCCTCCAGCAATATCTCCATTCCAGCCTTCAACTTCAACTCACAAAGTCTCTGCTGGCACAGGGTAGCTCTCTCTGATCACCTTTCTCCCCACAGAACCCAAGTCAGATCCCAGGTGGTCACTGGTGACCACAGCTCCTAGGAAGCTTGGATCAGACCTCTCCAAGGCTGTGCCCTCGTCCTGGGCCCTAGGCTGTTTGCCCACCCTTGCTTCTTTCCACCTCCAAGAACATCTTGGCAGTGGGCTCTGTGGGGCATTAGGAGACCCTTGGAATAAGACACAAGTCTGGAAACAGATATTCCCTTCCTCCATCAGCTGAAGAAGTTGAATAAAAAATAAGTTACTATTTTTACTGCTAGGATGTGGTTGTTATGGCAACAGAGGGCCTGACTCTTGCTCCAGAGTAAGGGTTGGGCTATGTTTGAGGGAGAAAGGGGAGGAGGTGGCTGGTGGGGTGGTCAGCCACAGGGAGAAAAGCCTGGGGAGCACGGGCCTGCCCTGTACACATCAGAGGGCCACCAAATCTCCATCTTCATAGTTCCTCACCACTCCACCTCCCTCCTCTCTCCTTCCCTCCCTCGTCTGTCTTTCCTTCCTTTCTTTCTTCCTTCCTTCCTCCTTTCATTTTCTTTTCTATACTTTTTCAGTATTGGGGATTGAACCCAGGACTTACTTGTGCCATACAAGCACTTATTGACACAGAGAGGCTGGGGCACTGGAAAAGAAATTTTGCTTCAGTGGCAGAGCCCCTGCCTAGAATCCCCCAGTGAGGGGCTGGGGTGTGGCTCAAGCCTAGAATCCCCCAGTGAGGGGCTGGGGTGTGGGTCAGTGGTAGAGCTCCTGCCTAGAATCCCCCAGTGAGGGGCTGGGGTGTGGCTCAGTGGCAGAGTTCTTGCCAATCATGCACTAGACCCTGGACTTCATCCTCAAAACTACCAAGCAAACAAAAAC